TATATAATTATTAAAATCACAATTTATTTATGTAGTTATTTATTTGATCAAAATTATAATTATTGGATTATTGGTACGTAATTGTCCATTGCAAAAATATTTGTCACAAAATAAATATTTTAATAATGATTATTAAACATTGTTATTTAATTATTTAAATTGCATATATATATATATATGTATATATGCATATATTTGTAGATATTTTTCTTAAAATGATAATAATTATTGTTATTTAATTCTCAATTGCAGAAATATTTATTATAAAATTTGTTATTAAAGTTGTTGTTGTTATTATTACTTAAATAATTATTTAAATTGTGGATTTATGTAGACTTTTCAGAGTTGCATATGGAGTAGATCTGGCTACCAATTCGTCACCTCTTCAGTTTATTTAATTAAACACACAACAGGTTAGTTTGCTTATCTTTTCGGCATCTTGTATCTCACGATCACTAATTCTGTCGGAGAGACTTGTTCTCGTAATGAAGGTTCCAGGCTTTGATCACCTTTGCACAAAAACACATTTAGTCGACCCAAACCTTTATTCCTAAATTGGTTCATGCATTATTAAAATGCAGGACTATTTTGTGAAACCGCTGAATAATTCATGTCATCGCAGGCTTCTCTAGATCTGTGTGGCCAGAAAAAAAAGAGAGTGCATTTTTCATATCATTTTGACTATACCCCATGAACCCTGCACAGCAGATGATCGATAAGACCAAACACAGCAAACAAGAGCTAAACCACATGAAAGACATGCTGCTGTTACATGCTGTGACTCTGTTGCCTCAGTCCATACCTGAAAACAGAGCTAGATGTTAGTTGGAGTTTGGACAGTGGCCCTTTTGTTGGCTTTTCCAGCTTCAGGAAGCTTGTTCCTCGGTTCCTCAAGGCATAATTGCTGGGGAGGGTCGTTAGATATCAAGGAGGTCTAGTATGCTTGGAGAAAGTGATCCATTAGATGTAGTTCCAACATCTACCAGCAGGGTAGAGAGCTAACAGCCAAACCTACAGGTGAAATCACTCACACCCTTACACACCTGAAACAATCAGTTCAGACAGACAGGCATGGCTCAGTGATCTCCAATGTTCTCCACGTCCTCCACAATCTCTCGCTTTCCTACTCCCCAATCATGGAGAACGCAACCATATACCTCCAGGAAGGTGAGTGTTGGCTTCTGGTTGATGCTGAGCAACTGAAAACCCCAGTCTCTTGTTACAGCTTCTTTGTCCAGTGGTGAATCAAACACCACGAGCGTTGCTGGGATATCTGCAGTCCGAAGTTGTTTGTTTCACGCTAGTTTCTGTTGTTACATGAGCTTTTATGTCTTGTCTTCTTTCCACCCATGTAAAACTCACCACTAATGATAATGCTGTGAAGTTGGTCACTGCCCAGTGTTGCTTGGCCAGCGTTCAGCTATTTTATGCTGCTGCTGCAGTTGGCAGTGCAAAAACGAGAGAAGAACGTAGACTTCACGTTTTCAGATTTGTATCAACTGAGAAATGTGGCTTGGAAACCCATTTCCTTCTGAGACCAGATTACCTTGGGATTTTTGAATGATTTTGGTGTCATCTGTTTTGTGGGAGTATTTTGACAGCAGTTATTAGTGCCCAAATGCATCTAGATTTGGTTGTAAACATGCAAATTGATTTAGCGTTTATCTGTTGGGAGTCCAGTCTCACCTTGTCCCTTTCTCAAACGACTTACCTTTGATCTCGACAGATATTAATACAAGGCTCAGCAATCGGCGTTAGAAGTCCCGCTAACCAGGGAACAGTCTTGCAAAGATTTTCCCAAGGAATCGAGTCACATCAAAAGTGCCTTTTCAAAGAAATGCAAATCGCGTGTGTGCAAAAAGACAATGTGCTGGAGAATCCGCTGGTCTCAAACCACGCACGGTATCACTTCTGCGGCTTAATTAGCAACAATTCATTGCAGTGACTCAGACTTGAAGGGATTCTGTTGTGAGCAACGCTTCCCCAGGGAGCGGTCATTTTAAGAAGGGGAAATTGTCCTGTCAGGCCTGTGCGAGACTTAGGAAGTTCATTGTTTTGTTAAAGCCTCTAAAGTGTAGCATTTGCCGTGTGAGAACGGAAATGCATGGATGTTGTGTTCGAATTGTTTAGTTGCATACAAAATCTGTGAATTGACCATTTATGTTTGTATGTGCTGGAAGGAAACATGCACAGGGAGTAGTTTCAGAAACCTTTTTATGGCTTGCCTCTTTGATGAGAAAATGGGTCAGTACGATTGGTTTCCTCAATGTCTTGAATTGAAACCTTTTGAAGTCTGCATGTAGCATGAATGTCTAACATGTTTCATGTACTCTTAAAAAAATAAAGGTTCCAAATGTATTTTGCACAACCGAAGAACCTTTTCTCTAATGGAAACATTCCATGGATGTTGAAGGTTCCTCATTGAACTATAGATGCCAATAAAGAACCGTTATTTGTAGGGATGCATCGATCCAATACTCCGTATCGGTATCGGCTCCGATACTGGCATTTTCTGCTGGATCAGGTATCGGTCTCCAAATCCGATATTGTGCGTATATTATTCTGTGTTATTGTTAGGCCTCACGAATGCACAAAAACATTATAAAGCACCATAAAGTCCAAGTGTTCTGAAGCCGTTCCATAGTTTAATGTGAGGTGCAGATGAATATTTAAGTCGTTAAATTCAAGTTGACATAAACTCTTCTCTCCGCTGCAGCTGTCTGTCATCCTCCATTCAGCGTTCACACTGCGGGTCACAGTCGGTTACGACAGTCAAAACAATGAAACTCTCTTCAAGAGCGCACAGTAACTGAAATTTAAAACTGTTAAAAGAAAAGGCTCAAACTATCGCACATTCAATAAACTACGCATCAATATCTCTTTCCTTTGTGCTTTGAACTTCTCTATGCATAGCGCTGCACGCTGTGACTTCGTGTTGCTTCAAGCGCATCATTCTGCGCATGGGATGCGTATAAGTGCTTTGTGCCGCTCTGTATTGGAGCTTTTTGTATTATAATACTTTTGCGCAATGAAAGCTTATTTATAGCGTTTCTTGTTCTGTCCTATGATAGGACAGAAAAAAGTAAGGCTATAAATAATCTAATGCATAGCACAGTAATTAGGGCTGGGACAATAAATCGATGCATTGCGAATCGAGAAATGATTCTGCATCGATTCTGAGATTTCCGAAGGCATCGCGATTCTCTCTTGAATCGATTCTGAGGTTAGTTTTTAACAGCAGATGGCACTGCGTGCTTTAGAAATAGCCGTATTCTGCTTGCTTCCAGTTCCTTACACACGCACCATTTGAACCTAAAATAATCATTCATAAAGTTCGAAAAGGTTGAAGCGAATTACAAGGATGTTCACAGTAGGCTGTGTTTACGTTAATCTCGCATCATAAAAGCATAAAAGCCGATGTGCAAGTACATTTAACCACTTACATTACTCATTACACAAGCGCTCTTCTTCGTGAGCATTTGTTAGTTAAAAACTAAGCTCACAATCGATTCGAGAGAGAATCACGATGCATTCCGATAATCTCAGAATTGATCCACGAATCGCGATGCATCGATTTATTGTCCCAGCCCTAACAGTAATGGAGGCAGCAACATATGATATATGGGACTCCTATTTGTCATATGTTGCTGCCTTCATTACTGTGCTATACATTTAAAAGAAATGTCTTTTCATTTTATAGTTTATATTTATAAATAAATACATTTACTTGTTTTCATTAATGTATTTTACAACCGTACAAAGAGCAATGTGTAACATTTTACCAGATTTAGTCCTACACTTATTCACTTTTATTTGTTCCACACTAAATAATGTTATTTCACTAAATGTTTAGATTTTATCAAATTGTGCACTCATGATTTTTCTAGAATAACTTTTGCTGCTAAATTATCCACTAACCTAGTTCATAGTATTTTTCTCATAGATTGATATATTTTTTTTCCATGTTATTTTTTTTATTAAAAGGAAGTTGTCTATATTTAGTAGATTGTGTTTAACATACAAAAGAGTGACGATCAGGTCAACACACACACAAAAAAAACTGTGCTCGGATCGGAATTTGCCGATACTCAGAGTTGTCTGGATCGGATCAGATTGGATCGGATCTGAAAAAATGGTATCGTTGCTTCTAGGGTTGCACGATAAATCGAAAGGAAATCGAAATCACAATTAGGCAGAAGCTGCGATTGTCATGCGTATCTTTCAGTGAAGCACGGTTCTGTGATCAGCAGTAAATCTCTATCCGAAGGCCAGAGGGCGCTCTCGCGCTGAAACTCCAAATACACCTCGCCGAAGAAACCCAGGAAATCTCTATAGCGGTTGCTGAATAAATAGAAGATTTAAATGCTTTTATTGATTCAACGTGACTAATAAACACACGACTAAGGCAATATATGGTTTATCTGAGTTCTTATTGTTATAATTTTCATTATTAAGTATATCTATAATGCAATGCTAATCGACATAGCCTTTATCACTGCTTAAATATTATGAAATATGTTGCGTGCCTTATTCTGTGTAAGAAGCCACATCATCTCACAGAATGATTTATTTCAAACACTCAGCTGATGTTTTGAAGTGAGTTTGGAGTAAAAACATGTTATTAAATGTGGTATTTTCACGTGCTTTCAGATGGAACAGCATTTACTTCACAGAGCCGTAGTTCACTGAGAAGCTACGCAAACAGCTGTCATTATCGCGAACGATTTCTTCGATTTCATAATCGTACGATTATGTAGTCTGCAATTTTTTTTTATTATTTTTTTTTGCATAGCTTGTCAGAGAACTACGGCTCTGTGTATTAAATGCCGCTCCATCTGAAAGCGGGTGATGGAGATTTACTACTAATCACAGAACCGGCTTTACTAACAAGATGTGCATGACAAGCGCATTCGATTAATCATGCAGCCCTAGTTGCATCCCTAGTTATTTGTATGAGTGTAAGCTAGGGTGGCCACATGTGCCGTTCATACAGGACACGTCCTGGCCAGGATTTTTATATTGCCTAAAACATCCAAAGTAATTTGACCAATAACATGCAGGTATTGTATATAATCGACCAATCGTGGCGTGTGAGAAGGTGAGAACAATCAAAGCGATGCAAATACGCGCACGTGTTTGTTCATTCGTTCGACTTGAAGCGTCGCTGCGCACCGATCATTGAATGACGCCAAAGTACTGCGCGAGTGATTCGAAAGCATAAGGAGCCGTCTGCTCTGCTCTCTATAGCTCTCGTGAATGTCATACAATGATCTATCTGCACAGTGCAAACAGCCAAAACCTGGATATTTTAGGCAATATAGAAATCCTGGCAAGGACGCGTCCCGTAAAAATGGCCCGTATGGTCACCCTAGTGTAAGCCTGGTTTGTGTTCCTCTCATTAGATTGTGTTTGATTTCAAGAGTCAATATTTAGCATGTTTTGACTTCAACGTGGGAGTCATCTACGCTTTCCGTATACGCTTCCAGGCGAGACACTCAAGATAAACATCTGTTGTCCCAATTTGGATGCGTGACTGTTGTTTGAAAATGTTGAACCGCAGCTCCGCTTTAAGTTTTTCATGTTCATAAAACTCATTTTGAATGGCTGCCTTTGTTTGTGTGTCATCCGTAGATATCATGGACGCGTTCAGCACGAAGAGCCTGGCCCTGCAGGCCCAGAAGAAGCTCATGAGCAAGATGGCGACCAAGACGGTGGCCAACCTCTTCATAGACGACACCAGCAGCGAGGTACTGGACGAGCTGTACCGGGTGACCAAAGAGTACACGCGCAACCGCAAGGAGGCCCAGAAGATCATCAAGAACCTCATTAAGATGGTGGTCAAGTTGGGCGTCCTCTACCGCAACGGCCAGTTCAACAACGAGGAGCTTGCGCTGGTTGAGCGCTTCCGGAAGAAGGTACACACGCTGGCGATGACAGCCGTCAGCTTCTACCAGATCGACTTCACCTTCGACCGCCGCGTCATGAGCAACCTGCTCAACGATTGCCGCGAACTGCTGCACCAGGCCATCAACAGGCACCTGACGGCGAAATCTCATGGCCGTATCAACCACGTCTTCAATCATTTCTCCGATTGCGAGTTCCTTGCGGCGCTGTACGGACCTTCGGAAGTGTACCGTGGCCACTTGCAGAAGATCTGTGAAGGAGTCAACAAGATGCTGGATGACGGCAATCTTTGACCACGACCTGTCTTGTTTTATGGAAATGCTAAATTTATTTGAACAATTTCTTTGTGTGTTTTAAATGGAGCTTAAGCTCGGAATATCTCGTGCCTTATTTGTGCATTGGACACTAAATCATCTGTCTTGAATGTACGTTTGTCCTTCCAATGGAACGTCTTTCTTCTTGACTCCTGTATTTTTAGAAATGGGGGTTAGAGGTGGTTTACAGCACAAACCTAATGTGACCCAATACAAATCTGGCTCTTGTTCGTCCAAAGGTAATTTTAGAGAGCAGTTTGTTTAAGATCCACCATCAGAGGAAATGAAGGACCATTTGCAAACCTTTTTGATGCTGAGAGGGTATTTCAAGCACTGCAAATACGAAATGCACTGGGGGATATGTATGAAAGGTTTCATCTCTAATTTTAGGAAATGAGCCTGCAGCATCACCCTCTCGCTTCCCGAAAATAGACACGTTCAATCCGCAACCCAAAAGGACTGTTTTTGGACATGTCTCTTGTGATTCATCTTCAGGTTGATGCTAAACTATTTGTAAACGATCACCCCTGTGATTTCTAAACTTGGTCATAAAGCGGTTTACGTTCATCTTATGCTTGTTTTTCCACTCCATATCGCCCCCTGCTGATGGGAGGTCTTAACTGCGATGCAATTTCTTATCAAGGAATGAAGAATGTGCTAGAATGTCACTGTACTACCTTTCGGCGTGTTTATTTACTGTTTTAATGAAGGTTTTATATGTGTAAATACACGACTGAGCCGTTATTTCCCTGATACGTCATTTCTGATTGTTTTTGACTTATGTGAACAAAGAATTCAACAACTTAAAGTCTCAATGTCCCATTTCTGCCATCAGTTTGTTTTAGCTCCAGCGGTTTTGACAGATTATTTTGTCTATTGTACTGGGTGTATACAAGTTCAGATCTTACTACATCACCTCTGGGATGTCGGTTACCACAAAAACATTGCACAAGCTCCCAAAAAATGTGCATACAGAAATGCTTTTAGTAGAAGTCTGAGGCAACTGTGTACTTGTCCCATAGACTTACATTGTATGTGCAAATCTGCCCACATGTTTTATGTTTGTACGTGTACCTGATTTTAACCTAGAATATTCCAAACTTGTGTCTTTTTTACAAGTTGACATACTGAAAGAATCACAAAGTTTGAGGCCTATATAAGGCTCTTACTGAACAGTTTAATGTTTCCTCCTGGCCTCAAAAACTTTATTTTCCTGTATCTATGCACTTATTATTATTAATATTGTTGTTAGTTTTTTATTTTTTAAGTAAATAGCAGAGGGTTGTTTGAATTTATCTTGTCACTAGTTTTTTTTTTTTTTTTAGGTAAAGCTCCAGCTTGCAAATAAAGTATCAACAATTTCAAGGGAAAAAAGTGAAACTCTTGAGTAACTTTGACAGCGGTGAAAGCCATACCTCCTGATTATCCGAAAACCTCTCAGGGTTCAGTCTCGAATGCCTCTTACATGTGATGTTTTGGGCTAATTTAAACTGGTAAAGGACCGGATACCTTATTTTGCTTTGTGTAGATATCATCTGAGCATTAAGACTATCTTTCACATTACAACATGTTTTTAACTAGAATGTTAAAGGCTATTTTTGTTAATCACAAACGAGTCTTGTTAATGTACGTTGTTTTCTTTGTTTTCTAAAAATGATGTATATAAATGCAGTATTTGTGTGTGTGTCTATATATAAATGTCATTCTTAAGAGGCAAGTGTTCCGTTTTTTTTTATGAGAAATGCAGAACAATCTAGTGAAAGAGTCCAAGCAGTATTAGCATGTTTGTCCTGGATTACAGTATGCTAATCTCTAGGCATGCTAGATTGTTTTTTCCAGAAAACCTTTTTTTTTGTTTCCCTTACATGAATAGTGAGATTGCAGAATACATGTTTAACATTAACATAATACAGCATCTCCAACCCATTTGTTCTATAATATGACACATTTTGGAGTGAAATAATATTCAGGGGAAAAAAGTTTTATTGATTGGATTGTGAAAAGTGGGTGTTAACAGAAGGGACTTGCTCTGTACGACAGGTGGTTGGATGAATGTTTTAGTGATGGAAGCCAAAAAAGACAACCATTTCAGAGTTATTACATTTAAATTAAAGATTACAAAGGCTAGTATGTTTTTTTTTTTTTCTTTTGGAATAGCATACATGGATGAATCTTTCCCAATAAGACCAGGAACAAGTATTAAGAAAGTTTTAGTTGATTTAACTTTCACTAAAACGAATTCTGAATAGATTGATAGTTTTATGCTAAGAAATATATACCCGGTGTAGACTTAAACCTGAATACACACCAACTCATGGGCACTCGTGTCACCGTGGGGACCTAAATTCAGGCCCCCATGAGGATACAAGCTTATAAATCATACAGAATAAGTTTTTTTGAGAATGCAAAAATGCGCAAAGTTTTTTTTGTAAGGGGTAGGTTTAGGTGTAGGGTGATAGAAAATACGGTTTGTACAGTATAAAAATCATTACGCCTATGGAATGTCCGCACGATTCATAAAAATAAACCTGTGTGTGAGTGTGTGTGTGTATATATGAATGAAGTCCAGTTAAACCCCGATTGTCCTCATAATCCAGGGTTAGTAACGTGTGT